CCCCGCTCCGGGCCGGTCTGCGGGGCTTCGCTTGCCGCTCGTCCAAGGAAATCCGCTTTCGGTTCCGCAAGGACGGCGCTGAAACAGTCACTTCTCACAGCGGAGGCGGCAGGATTTTCTTTTTAAAGGCCTCACTCGTTCTTTGTAGGTATCGAGGGAGATAAGTGGCGGGGGGAACCCACCCTTGCGCCTCTGAAGCCACAGGGATGCTAAGAGGAAAGAGCTCTCCAGTTCATCCCTCAAAATCTGGAGTCTTACTAAAAAGAACACTTTCTAACTTTATCCTCAATAATATCTAAGTTTTATCAGTGCAGTTGCCATTTAACACACACAAGTAAAGGAACTGACCCTTCCTTCTCTGGAAAGTTATGGAAAACAACAACAAAAGAACTATTTTGTAGGAATAGGAGTCCTCTGTTAAGCAACACAGCTTACCACTGTACTTGTTCCTTCTTGGTTCAATTTCCACTGTAAAGCTTCATACCAGGGTTTTAGAGCAAGCCTGCGCTACACACATAAATGCTATGCCATCAAATAATCAAAAAAAACATGCAATATAGCAGACTGTACCTTCGTCAAGGTCTTCCATATTAGTGACCACTAAAAGCTTGATCAATTCTTTATGTAGTCTCAGCTGCAGACTTTCCAACCAAGCAAACATGTTAGCATAAATGCAAATAAATCTGAAAACTAGTCTCACTAATTCAGGTTGGTGATCCATACTTCAAAAGCTGCGTTTGTAGTCTTGTGAGCAAGCGACTTAAAAGTTAGGCTAAAAACCCAATTCATTAAAGGTAAAGCTCACAAATGCAATTTAATTCCATATGAAAGTGCTATATACGTTATACACCCCCACTCCCACACATATACACAACGGCTTGAGCTTTAGAAGTTATTCTAAATCTCATGAAGAATCACCGTCGCAAGTCCAACTGTTACTCAGAACTCACGGACCAGAGTAAACAAGATAAACAGCATCTAATCTCAATACCAAAGGTGGGAAATAGTCATCCTGACTTGAATCGTACAAGTTTTTAAGTTTTTATTATTGCTGGTATGACTGCCTCCAGAAGCGCAAAGCAAATACATACTGTCTTTTTAGACAATGAAATCATTCAACGTACGCTCATTTTTAAAGCACCTTTTTCTTCATTTTCCCGACAATCAAACTAATTTAGTACCACCACCCTGGACTAACGTATCCCTTAACACTTTACTATTTCAGGGATACCTAAGCCAGAAAATGAGTATGATCTGCGTGGGTCAACACATCCCAACTCCATTGTATATACTGCGTCATCCATACAGAAATTGTGGGTTTTACAAAAGAAGATTCCCAGATTCCATCTGAATGGAAGCAGCTCTACTCCTCTGCCAAGCAATGCCACATATACAAGCAAATACGCTGTAGAACTCTTAATTGATCTACAAAGCACAGGGACCTCTCTTAAGAGCAAAGTAGAACTGTATCACATTTACATTAAGGTACATTAAAAATAAGCAAATTAGCAGTGTAATAAATACATTTTTAGTTAATATCTTTTCATATTTGTTTACTTACCATGTTAACCATCATGTGTTTGCTTTTTACAAATTCAGTAGTTGATAAAAAAGCAGATTTTCAGTCAAGATTATAAATTACAACCAACAAATTCAACAGTTCATTTGAATATGAATATTTGAACATTCATACTTTTAGTCCATACAAATTCCTGCTTTACAAATAAGCAAGAAATCCTGTCCCTGTTTCAGCATCTCAAATTATTCTTGATGTTCATGCTCTTGTCCTGGGATTAGCCACCGAATGCTCTCAGTTCGAATAGTAGCGTACATAATAAAGCTAGCCAGAAAGAGCAAAGAGAACAGGAGCAGCCAATCTATTCCTTTTGTCAGAACACTAGGCAGAGGGCCTTCCCAGTCTTCCTCAGTCACAGCCACATCCCTTTTAGCTTCTATTCCTGAAAAAAGAATCACTTAATCAACATCAATAATAATTACTTAATACAAATAAGTTGGAACTTTTTCCTGTTCTCAAATTAAGGTGCATGCACAGCTAGACTTAGAATTTTGGTGAGATAGTCCTTATATTTTAAGGTGTCTACCATATAGTTTACTCATGTGGAATTAAAAGCCTATCAACGTATACGTGTATTTTCTTAACGCTGTGATACTGGAAAAGGTTCATTCTGTTCTTCCGCAGCACAAGCTCTTTTACGGAGGTGAGGGGAAGGGGTTGGTATTTTTGCTACATTAGCAAATATAACAATTCCTGGCCTCTAATGAAGGCCGTCATTGGCCCAGATACTTCCCCCCCCCCCAGGAGAATACACCACAGAAAGCCCAGAAAGCTGTCTGACTGTGAGCTCACAGTGAGGACAGACAGATCATCCTTTTGCCTCCTCCAGCAGTGTGTTGAGTGTCTGCTTTTAGCATGCCCTGAAATCCAACTCACTAAAGCAAGCGATTAAATGAACCTCTGCTGCAGGTGGTCCCCTCAGGGCCTTCACGAAACTTATTTAAAATAAGAAAGAATAGGGAGAGAAAAGCTCAGTTTGGAGCTAAGAGGTAATCCTGTTCTTTCTATTCCTGTTCTTCATCAGAGCTGACTTACATACCTGTTTGATTAAAAATGAAGTCTTTCAGTGTTTCCAGTGTTCTCTCCGTATGATTAAATCTAGCCATAGGTTTAGCACCTTGGAAAAGGAGGATATTGGGTACAGCCACAGTTCCAAATCTAGTTGATAAACTGATGGACACAAAGCAAACATAAGATATGAGGGAAAATAAATCCACTGAAGAAAGAAATAAGAGATCACAATAAAGGCAATAACAATTTTATTATTATAATTTGTCACTTTATAACAAACAACATACAACCACCTTCTTGTGGTATTAGGGAAACGCTTTACTGCTGAATTAGTCAACAACGCAAGATTTAGCACTGGATCAGCATGTCATTTCACCATAAACACATGTATTGTATGGGTCTTAGCCTTGTTATTTGAGGATATACTGGAGTGTGGAGGATACGTAACACTCTTCTGACTAATGAAGTCCCAAAATGAATTAGCAGAACACAGTTATCAATTTAATTATACCTACTGAGATAGTAATATGTTTCTTGCACGTTTACGGTAAAATTGTCAAGTGCTAAAAACATGCTAACAGCACAGCCAAAAATAAAATAGGCAAATAACCATTTATATTAAGCAGCTTCAGAAAAAAATCACTCCTGTTTTTAAGATTCAAAACTTGCTATTGGAAATAAACTGAGAAGAGAGCATAGAAAGCCTGAATTACCTGCTATGCTGAGATGCATCCAAGGCTAGGAAGCGAAGAGTTGGAAATGCTCGAGGTAAGGAATTAAAATGAGGTGCTAGACTGGCAGAGAAGCGGCACCACGGTGTGTAGAACAACACTAACGTACAGTCACTGCTGTTTGGGTTTAAGAACTCCATCAGATCCTTAGAGAAAGCAGAACAAACACAGACACAAACAATTAAACATTTAAGAGTTCTTGCACAACAGAAGGGATCATTCAGCAAGCAGTTAGAGTTGACAGCATTTCTCAAGTAGCTGCATACTTAATGCTTTTTTAAAATTAAAATTCTCTCCGTTATAAGAAATAAAACGGAAGTAGACACTATCACTAGGAATAAGCGTCGTTAATAACTTCAGAGAGACACCAACCTGCCCACCGTGCAAGCTGACAATTCACTACGGGCACACACGTGGCAGACACACGCACAGGCATGCGGACTGAGCTGCACCTCCAATATTTCTGTTCAGAAAGACTGAAAAGCCTTCTTGCTCAGACAATCATTAAACGCACAGAACTTCACACAAAGCAATTCAGTAAGTCGAAGCGCAAAAGACACCTACGCAGCGCACGGACATCGCATCTTTCACCACCGCCGCTCAAAGCGGCACGGAGCGGGGCACCGAGCGGCTTTCTTTCTTTAGAAACGTTCCGGGTTTGCAGCGGGGAGA